CTTCGTCGTGCACTGCGCCGAAGCGCGATAAGAATTCCTGCTTCCGCTGTGGATCGCTCCAGCACATGCTAAAGGATTGCCAACAGAAGCCAGCAAGTAACCCAAAAATGGTGGGAGCAGCCAACAACCAGCCGATACGGGATGACGAAGAGGAGCCAAATATGTTTATTCCGATTATTAACCAGGTAGGAGTATATTTTTACACTGATTGTCAAATGAAGCCTAATGTAACCTTCCTTTCTGCCATGTTCGATACGGGTAGCGCCATTAATTTAATTCAACACGCTGCCATTCCTTATAAAAACATTAGCGATGTATTGTTTCCGACTGACTATTGTGGAGTTAATGGATTTAAGATTAAAACTTTCGGAAAAATATTTGTTAAGCTCGTTTTTCAAAACATAGAAGAAGAAATCTCATTTTTTGTTGTACCCAACAACTATGTTGCAACTAATGTTCTTTTAGGGCGTAAGTTTTTGGAAAAATTTGGAATAAAATTGATTTCTAAGTATAAAGTAAAAGAAATTATTGAATTGAATAGATTAGTGAATAGTGAACCATTGAATATTTTAGAGAATAGTGAACCATTGAATATTTTAGAGAATAGTGAACCATTGAATATTTTAGAGAATAGTGAACCATTGAATAGATTAGTGAACAGTGAAACATATCGAGACAGTGATCAATTGATAGACAGTAGAAGTTTTGAAGACTTATGTGAAGAAAGTGAAATTGATAGTGATAACAGCATACCAGAGATATATAGTATAGATGTATTTAAGGATGATGAAAGTTTTGACATTGACCCAAAGTTGAGTGATAGAGATCGGAGTGAGCTCAGTGAAATAATAAGATTGAATTATTTATGTTTATCTAACATCCCAGCGATTCAACATAGTTACGAAATGAGGTTAAGACTAAAGTCAGAAGAACCTGTACGTTCTGTTCCAAGAAGACTTTCATATCAGGAAAAGAAAGAAGTAGATTTTAAAGTTGACGAATTATTGAAAAAAGGATTTATAAGAGAAAGCAATTCGCCCTATAGTTCTGCTATTGTACTTGTAAAGAAGAAATCTAAGGAAAAGCGCATGTGCGTAGATTATAGGCAACTTAATAAGATAACCATTCGTGATGGATACCCGCTTCCCCTTATAGATGACTGTTTAGAGCGTTTAGAAGGAAATCAATACTTCACACTTTTAGATTTGAAAAGTGGATACCACCAAGTGAAAGTAGCAGAAAGTTCAGTGCAATATACAGCTTTTGTAACACCTTCCGGACAGTATGAATACACAAGAATGCCTTTCGGACTCATGAATGCACCCGCGGTATTCATGAGATTTATTAATTTTATTCTGCAACCTTTGATCCGCGAAGGAAATGTAGTAGTTTACATAGACGATATTGCTATAGGTTCGAAGACATTGAATGAACATTTTAAGACGGTAGGAAGAGTATTAAGAATTTTAGCAGCATATCGATTGGAAATTAAAATAAATAAATGCCAGTTCGCTTACAAAAGTATTGAATTTTTAGGATACACACTCAGTGAAAAAGGGATAAGTCCGAATAACGAGCATACATCAACTATTAAACATCTTCCGATACCAAAAGATCGCCATGGAATGCAGAAATGTTTAGGACTATTTTCTTACTTTAGAAGATTTATTCCGGCGTACTCAAAAATAGCAAAGCCATTGCAGGAGCTCACAAAAGCAGGTGTTAAGTATGAACTCAATGAGGATTGTATCAATATTTTTGAATATCTTCGTGAGAAATTAATTTCATTCCCTATATTATCTTTGTACAATCCAAATCGAGAAACGGAATTGCATTGCGACGCAAGTAGCGAGGGATTTGGTGGAATCTTATTACAAAAACAGGATGATAACAAGTTCCATCCAATAGCTTATTTTTCACAGAGAACAACAAAACTAGAGGCAAGATATGAAAGCTTTAAATTGGAAACACTAGCTGTGGTTTACTCATTACGAAAATTTAGAATATACCTAGAAGGAATTCCATTTAACATAGTAACAGATTGTAATGCAGTAGTTTTATGTCTAGGGAAAGGACGCCTTAATTCAAGTATTGCCAGATGGGCTTTAGAATTGGCGAATTATAATTATACACTTAAGCATCGTAGTGGAAAATATATGAATCATGTTGATACATTGAGTAGATACCCTTCAGCCTTAAATGAAAATTTTGAATATGAACCTGTATGGAATATCCAAGAAAGTGACAACAAAGACCAAATAGTTTCAGTAATTGACAATGACGACATCAATCTTCAGCTTCAGATAACGCAAAATAGGGATAATCTTATAGTAAAACTGAAAGAACAATTAGAACATGGAAATGTGAAAAATTTTATATTGAACGATGGAATAGTTTACAGATTAGGTGAGAAAGATATTGAATTGTTATATGTACCAGTTGAAATGGAATCACATATAATTAGGAGAGTCCATGAAAATTTATGTCATTTAGGTACTGAAAAATGTTTGAAGGAAATATTGAGACATTATTGGTTTCCGAACATGAAATCTAAAATAGAGGCATTTATTGGCAATTGTTTGAATTGTATCATGTTTACAGTACCTACACATGCGAATAATCGAACCCTACATAATATACCCAAGCGACCAATTCCTTTTGATACATTACATGTAGACCATTTTGGACCGTTGCCCTCAGTTATATCGAAAAAGAAACATTTGTTAGTGATTATTGACGGATTTACCAAATTTGTTAAATTGTTTCCTGTAAATTCAACGAGTACAAAAGAAGTCAATACGTGTTTTTCGAAATATTTTCAATATTACAGTCGACCACGTAGAATTATAAGTGATAGGGGTACGAGTTTTACTTCATTAGAGTTTGCCAACTTTTTATTAGAAAATAATATTGAACACGTTAAAGTAGCAACTGCGTCACCTCAAGCGAACGGTCAGGTGGAAAGAGTAAATAGAACAGTGAAAGCAATGTTAGCTAAGATAACTGAACCAATAAAGCACGAGGATTGGAGCAAACTACTGGTTAAGGCCGAATATGCCATTAATAATTCAGTGCATTCAACGACGAAGGAATTACCATCAGTATTATTATTTGGAGTTCAGCAGAGAGGGTGTAATATTGACGCATTGACAGAATATTTAGATGATAGAAATGATAGACCACAGTGCGATTTAGGAAATGTCCGTAAGAATTCTTCAGATAAAATAGAACAGTCTCAGAAAAGAAGCAAGGAATATTATCAGAAAAATCACAAAAGTCATGTAGAATTCGAAGAAGGCGATTTTGTTGTAATGAGAAACATTGACACCACAATTGGTACAAATAAAAAATTTGTACCGAAGTACAAAGGACCATACGTCGTTAAAAGAATTTTGCCAAACGATAGATACGTTATAGCAGATATTGAAAATTGTCAAATTAGTCAAATTCCCTATGATGGAATTGTAGAAGCATGTCGGTTACGAAAATGGGCAGATTGGCGTAATCAGTGTGAAATTAACTCCTAATAAATGTTAAGCTAACCTATATATATTTAAACAATTAATATCTAAATTATTAACCAAAATTTTACAACTTAACTTATTCTTTACAAATTATTTATATTTATATTTATTTTTCTAAACGTAAGAACATTTTAATAATACTTATATAAACTAGAAACCCACGATCGAGGACGATCTAATTGTCAGGATGGCCGAGCTGTAAGCAGTGTATGATGATGTGATTAACATGTCTATAGCTATTTCTAAGTTATATTAATTAAGTACCAACATCCACATTTATGTACCAATCCCGCTGTTCCGATTTGATATAGAACTAAGTAAAACTAATATTGCAAAAGGCTAAGGATAACGTGAATATCAGAGAACGGTCACTTTACGATAAAAGAGAGAAACAGAGAGACATTGTAAAAAGCACGCTAACATAAAATTAAAATAAAGTGAAATAAAAAGAATTAAAACTACGATAACATTATTATATATTATACATAGTTCTAACCGGTGCTTTCGCCCGTAACCTTAACCATAAGGTTACTGCCGAGTCCGCATGATCGCCGGTGGCCAGCCATCTGGGAATGCATAACAGTTAGGCGGCCGCAAGCGCACTCGTGGTTGTATTTTTCGTAGAAACACCCCAGTCGGTGCTCATAAAGAGCCACCGACGAGCTGCATTTCTCTAGGCACAGGCTGCATTGGTATAAGCTCATCTTAGCTCGCTTCGTCGGGGTCTGCTCCTCGAACAGCTTCATCCTAGCAGGAGGTGTGCCTCCTGCTTCGTCTGATACGACACTCAAGGCGTCATCGGCGGTTAGGTCTTCTTCCGGGTTCCCTTCCAGCATGGAGTCCACACATTCCTCCAGCTCGCTTCCTTTAAACCGGCAGACCTTCGCTGCAACTAGGTCACAGGCCTGCTGCTGCATCGAAAATACTGCTGCGACTTCCTTACTGGAACGGTTCCTCTCTTCCTTCAATACCTTTTCGAATTGATTGTGCAATTTCTTTAAAGCTGCCTTGGCAGCCCTCTCAGTCACTTTCTCTAATCTAGGGTCGTTTTCGCAAACGCGAAAATGGGATTCCACTAAATCTTTGAAAATTTGGAGGAGTCGATTGCACCGTTGCGTCAGGGCTGACATGTTGCTGGCAAGTGACAGTCAAAAAGCTTGCAGCCACCGAAATGCATTCAATGCGTCGCTCACAGTGGTCCCCATTCCAATATATTTGGCCTACCAAATTTGCCTTTGCAAATTGCAAAAATCAAAGTTAATTTGCCAATTTGGCCCATTGTGCAGGAAAAATGCTAGCTGCAATGTGCGTATGTATTGAATTAAACATTTAAACAAAAATTTTTCATAGAACACGTTTATTTGTTTCGAGCCAAAGCGAGATGACTATAGCATCTAATCTTCATAACTGTAAAGCATAAAAACACATACATACATATATAAGTGCTACATATTATTACTACTACTATTATATTAATTACCCCGTGGAGTCGAAATCCAAGTCCTCCAGCAGGCTGAGAAGGCAGATGATCCTCCTCAGAAGCGTCTGCGCCTCTAGCTCGCTGAGATTTGGCTCAAGCGTAAAGGCCTCGACCATTAACTCGGCCGTCAAAGAGGCCCACTTCTGGCCGGTGGTCTCCAGGACTCCGTTGTTTGCCTCCCTCAAGTTGAACGGCGTCGAGCAAATGGCAAACCGGCGGCTCACAACGTCCCGTAGCACGCGGATCTCGCCGCGCACGCGCCTCTTGGCACTGCCAGGAAAGTGGCTCGTCCCGCTCCAGGCCAGCTCCAGCTTCTGCTGAGCGTTGTGCTCCCGAAAAACCATCCGCGTGTGGATATTTGGCAGGAGTTGCAGCACATGCTTCATGTCCGCGGCGACTATTTTGGCCAGGTGGTTTAGGTCTGCCATCACCGGATAGCCACTGTGGACATGAAGCAAGGCGTTGTTGGGGCATTCGTCCACTATTATTGCTATCAAATGCTTTTCAAACTCCACTAATGCGATGGCCTCCCGCACCTGCTCAAACGCCGCCATGATTTGCGTGGCCGTAAATGTACTTTTCTTCTATATAGGTAAATAAATATATTTAAGTACATATGCATGATTTTTAGATATTTGGGGCTACTTACCACTTCGGTGTAAACAACCTGTTTCACGGACCCGTCATCTGAGGTTCCCATCATTATTAGCGTGTGTCCCGGCGTCGGCTGGGTGCGTAAATTCTTTAATTAAATTGTTAAAAAAAATAGACAAGACTTGGAACCCACCCCAGTCAGGTGAATGACGTCTACCATCAGGTAGAAACACCTGCCGTGATCCTTTAAACGCTTTACGCCGTCCAAGTTTCTAAGGATCCCGCTTGGCCGGAGCGGATCATCCACCTGTGGGAGGTGCTTTTCCACCTGGGCGCGCAGGTGCGGCATTGCAAAGAATTTTAGCCTGAAAAGTAGAGGTGGAGAAAAATCGATGTTAACATCGATGTAATCGATGTTTTCAAAACATCGGTAACATCGATGTTTGGCTTGCCAAACATCGATGTTTTCCATCTCGTATCGTTTTTTAAAAGAAGCTCGACTGCGTATGCAAAATTCAAAGCAGCACAAAAAACAGAAACTCCATATGGCCTGGTTCAAGAAATGCCGACGCGCTGGAATAGCGCATACGAAATGATCAAGCGAGTAATTCTGACAAACGAATATATTAGTGTAGTATTGGCTGTATCTCACAATGCCCCTTCACCGTTGTCTGCCGAAGAAATTGACGTTTTAAAAGAGATTTCGATATTGCTTGCTCCATGCGCGGATGCAACCTTGTCGGTTTCGACGAACACCAATGTCTCAATTTCGTTGATCATTCCTGTAATTTGTGAACTTTTCCACAAAGTTAATGGATTCGATTTCAAAACAATTGAAGGAATCGCTGCCGCAGATTACATGAAGATTCGTCTAAGGGAAAGATTGTTTGCATATGAAACTAGAACGATTCCTCGTATTGCAACAATTCTCGATCCGCGATTCAAGAAGCAAGGGTTCCTTGCCCAATCGAACTCGGAGGAAGCGGCCAAGGCTTTGCAGGAAGAGCTGAACTCCGTTATGACAACAACTCCACGACCGAGAGGAACCTACACGGTTCTCATTCCTCAAAACTAAAATGGAGACAACAGTTCAATCACTTCGGGCGGATTCCATTATACTCTTACGCCAACATCTAGAGAAAGGGAACCAACCGGAAAAGTGCGATCCGTTGGCGTATTGGGAGGTAAAACTTTATATGCTAAGTCTTTTGTTCTTCAAATATTCAATTAAACAAAATATCTTATTTCAGATGTCAACTGATGAACCATTTAAAAAGATCTCGAAAAAGTTCCTTTGTATTCCAGCATCCTCATGCGAGTCTGAACGCCTCTTTAGCAAGGCAGGCCAAATGATTTCGGACCGTCGCACTCGCTTATCGCCATCAGTCGTCGATAAGCTTCTGTTCCTTAACAAAAACAAAAATATTAATAAAATTAAAATATAATAACAAAAAAAAAAATTTTGTTAAACATCGATTAAACATCGATGTTTTTCACCAAAAACATCGAAAACATCGATGTCCACAAACATCGATTATTCTCCACCTCTACTGAAAAGGTCCATTATATAAAATCGCAAGTATTGTCACTTAAAAAGTTTGAACAACGGCGCTAAAACTGTATGACCACCTTGGAGAAAACGGAGAATGTCCCGTAACGCCATGCGAAAGTGGCCAGAAAGCGCCTATATTTGCGTTAAACCCAAAGGTGGTCACACTGCCTGGACCTGAAATCTGTGTGTCGCGAAATTCTCCGTTCCGCCGCATTTTCCGCGAGAAAAAAGTGACGTCGACGGGAGCCGAGGGTGGGGGGCAGGCGCGATCAGTTTTCCGTGGAAAGTGATCGAATACACCAGTTTTCCCGTCGCGTGTGTTACCCATGTGCAAAATACAGTGCTGCCAGACCGTCAAACTGAACTTTACCGGTTTTTCCCCAATTTCTCAGTTTTCCGAACTCGGCCCCCAACGTGAGACCCCCCAAAAGTTGCGCCTCGCTCCCCCACACCCTCCACGACCCTGGGAGACCCTCAGAAAAGCGTAGGAAACGCTCCCAACCCTCCCGACCCGAAATCAGACCCTCAAGACGACCCTCCCAATCCCAGCGTTGCCAGCCTCCCCATCCGGGCGTTGCCATTTCACTGTAAGCTACAGTCCTAACAGATGTTAATAAGCAGCCTGTAACAATAATTCTGTTATGCGTAACCATAATCTGTTCCTAGTGGATCCATAATCTGTTCCTAGTGGATCTAATGTTTGTGCTATGTTAACAGAAATAGCTTTTATTTTATTTGGGACGTGTCATGAACATAAATAACGAGCTATAAATGATACTTGGTAACAGACTGCAAGTGATCTAAGCGAATAACCAAATCGGACTAATTAGATTCATAGCCACGAAAACCCTGCAAATATATACCTCGATAATAATTAAATTTTGGTTTGTGATGAAAAAAAATTTGGTAAGCTAGAGTAGTGAGTATACATCCAGTATTTCATGTGTTAAAATAATTTAGAAAGATTCTGTGTAATATTTTAATGGTTACGGCCTGGCACTCAGATCGAAAGACAAGTTCGCCAGCGGAAACCTTTTATCTTTCCAGTGTGTCAGATTTTTTGAAAAAAACATTACATTTTGTAATCTTTTCACCCAAAGTTTATTTGGCAGAGTGGCAACGCCATGCTAAATTCTGGTATTTTTTCGTTGATCTGAGTAAAAAAAAGCTTAGCATGAGCTTTTCGGGGAATTAAACGAGCGAGCTTTCAGTGAGAGCCAAGTCTATTTAAGCAACCCACTGTATATTTTTTTTATTCACTTAGAATTAAACACTCACCCGCGCTACTTTCGGTTGCCGTTAACAAATGTTAAAGAAAATATAGTGAATCGTACTCGATATTCCATTAATCGCCGGGATAAAACAGCACAAATGATGTCTGATTAGCAGTGAAAGATAGCGGACATTTGATTATTTTTGTATGTTCATTGCATGCCAACTTTCTAACGGCCGCGAACTCAGCTGCGCGCTTTTTCAACGGCTTTCCACAGAGCCGCCGTCGCCGCCGAACAAACAATAATAATGAAAAGCGCCAGACAAAAACCGAAGAGCTAATTGGCCGACCAGTATTATATTAATATTTGTTAATTCCGGCTGCCACCGCCTAATTGTTTGCATATCAATCGACCAAAATATTCGTGCTGTTGAACCAAGGAGCTGCCAAGTAGTGCAATAAAATCAAAATAAGTTGAAAGCAAAAAATCCTTAATACACACGCACACACGGGCAGACGTCTGGGGGTGTGTGTGAGTGAGTGTAGGTGTGTGTTTATGCGCAGGCGCCAATTCGAGTTTCTGTGCATTAATTGCTTTTTGCGAAGTTTTCTGCAGAACGATCAAAAGGTAGGTTCTAACTGGTTTGGCTGTTTTTTAATTCTATTATTTTTGCCGTATATTTATTTCGGTTTTTTATCGTGCCTATTTCTATGCCATCACAGCGTGCCCACCCACGCATGGTGGCCAAAAACTCTCTCGCCCCTTCCCCTGCCACCACCCGCACATTTACTTTTACTACGCGCGCTTCGCCGGAAAGCTTCGTCTCTGCGACGGCGTAAGCTTTTTCTTTCATTCAAGTCGCTGCTGCAGTCGTTTGCCGTTATGCTGCGTGAAAGTTAATTCCGTTTACTATCGGCATTCATCAACATCATCATCATCACCACCACCAAACGCCCACGCCCACACACTCCCACTTCCACCCCCACCGCCAATACACCGCACCTTTTGCCGGCTTTTTGTGCTAAGCATTTAAGCAGTAATTGACATGCATTCGCCGATATGTGTTGACAGATAACCACTTCTATTATTTTTTGTTGCCATTTGCCTTGGGCCCTTTCCCTTTCGGTTTTCCTTCAAAAATGTGGGTGGGTTTTAGGGGGGATTATTATTACGACGGGATTAGGGTAGTGCCAGCCACGAAGCCCAATTCATCATCTTGAGTGCGGCTTAAAGTGTTACCAATGCATGCGGGGCGTAAACCGAAACCACAACAAGCTCAAACTTTTCCGATTTCGGGTTTTATTTGCATACCCATATTTGTGTTCTTAATTAAAATTAACCAAGTTTCAAGCACAGAGACAAAAATATTTATTGAAAGATTAGTTCTACAGCTAAAAATAGATTGTCTTAAAAGTTCCCATGCTACACTACACTCTCACTACACTCATAATAATAAAACCACTAAGTGAAACCTTAAAAGACGCATTACCTCATTATGTAGTAAGCACGTTCCCGATTAGAACTTTTGCATTCCCAAGCATACAACACGATAAAAAAATAAGGTTAACGTGAGCCCTTTGCTTGCAATAGACAAAGTTGTCAATTGATTTATTCATTACATATATTTCAATAAAATAGTAGAGGTGCAACCAACTAAAGATTGCATTAATTTTTCGTTGTAAACTTATTTGGGTATGGGGACTTAAGTAAAATTTAAGAAGGGATACTTTTTCTGCATATGTTAGAATTTAAATTCAATCCTAATTTTAAAGTGGATGGAATATTTTTGAGACATACAAATTGGATACAAAATATATTAGCCAGAGCTTTAAAGCATATGAGTGTTTTAAAGGTTCCCCATCGTAGAACACGACCTAATTATGACCGGTGCTCCTTCAAAGTGTACCCTCTTTCCCAGATCACTTTCATATTCAGCGTACAAATTACGTTCTTAGAAAATTGTAATCCGCTTTTTGGCTTAACATTCTGCTGCCAGCTCTAAAAGAGAAAGAAACCAAATTGCGCTAACTTAATCAGAGCGACGTGCAATTACTTGCATTAGAGCATTTCCACTTCGTCCTCCTGCTCCTCGGCTGCTCAGTTCCTTTCTTGGCCCGGCTCTTGTCCCATTTGTTTCCGCTACCTTTTGTCATCCATCGCGCCTTTCAACAGCTTTCCGAAGCGACTGAGTGGCGGGAGGAGGCGGCGACGTCGAGAAAATATCGCTCTTAAATTGCACTTAATGAAGCTGCATCATCACATTTTGCATTTCATGCAAAGGCATGAAAATACACGGTAAATATGTAAAACAAGATGCGTCCCAGAATAATATTTTGTTCATAAATTAAATAATTTAATCAAGATTGAATGTACTCTGTCCACAATGTCATTTGTTATTTTGTAGATGTCATTTTGTATTTTTGACATTAAAATATTATAAATTTAAAGAATTGAATCGCACCATTAATACCATCAATTGAAACTTTAAGAGTATTAATAGGCTCAAATAAAAATATATTTAACAAAAATGTCAAATCAATAATAGATACAACCAAAATTCGTGTATGTTATAATTAAACAGCATGTTAATTGTGCTAGAAATCTCCACGGTGTTTTTTGTGGTTAAACAATATGATTCAATTGTGATTTTAAGCTACATTTTTTATTTATGTTCTATACTGTTTTTCTTTTTTAAGCTTTTCGTTGACCGTGTATACATTGCTTTTATGCCTTTCATAAATACATTTTTCACCGTGGATATACATATGTCTGTCGAAAGAGTTCACTCCATTGCCATTTCTTTCCGTACGTGAGGAGATTCCATACTCGGAGAACAATGCTTCAGCCACTTGCATTCAACAGACAAATGAGTGGAAATTATGCCAAGACACTGGCAATTAATAAGTAGAGAAAAGCAGCGTAAGCCTCCCCCTTCCGTTTTCCGACCCCCTCCGCCAGCCGTTTGACTTTTGTCTCCGGCCACCTGCTGTTAGCCGCCTTCGGTGATTACAGACACTCCGCACACCTTTCAGCCCCACCCCGTCCCACCTCACCTGCAATCCCCTTCAAGCCAAACGTCTCATTTACATGCTTGCACTGGGGCGTTGAGTGTTTGCCGACGGCAATACATAATAATCCCCAGATCGGTCTGCACTGCTCGAAATCTGGATTCTTGTCAGCTTGCTTGGGGCTCTAAAAATATAATTGGGATGTATATCTTGATTTGATTTTAATGGGGCTTAACAACGATAGCTGTGATTGATTTAATAATTGGGTATGGTTTTTTTGAGAGTCGGCTGTTAAAAAAATTTGCATATCAGGTGATATGGTTAAAATTTGATGATGTAAGAACATAAAATGTTTTATTGGCAAAAGGTTATTTTTTTGTTGTTGTATCATCTCTCATAGAATGGTTGTATCATCTATAAATTGTATTGAATTAAGTTTTTAATATATAACTAATTATAATTTATTCTTTAATTATATACCTTAAAAATTGAATCTTCAAGTAAGAATTAAATAGTGTACAAATAGATTTAATAATACTGGGATATATTAAATAGCCCACTAGTTGGATTTATTTCCATTTCAAAATAGAATGGGTAGAATTTAGCGGTCCCTATTAACATCATATTATGCATTTTTTTTTTTTTTTTTTTTTTTTTGTTTTTGTTATTATTTATTTATTATTTGATTAGCGCACTGCTACTCAATTGGCAACTTAATCTAATCAGTCTTTAATATAATCGGTTTCATTGGGTCTTCTTTGTAGCTTAAGACTAATAATTTAACCTAGACATTTTAGGGAGAAATATTGCTGTTGTTGTTATTGATGATGTTTAGGTCAAAACCCGGTCAGGTAGGTCTTGAGGGTGGTGTCGCTTTAGTCTTCTTTTGACTCTTGTTCGAGGGTCAGCGTTATTAATGGCAGCAGTTCCAAGTTTCCTGGCTAGGCTGTTGGGGTGCTCATTTAACCTTTCCATGTACTTCCGAGCAAGTTCCTGCAGCTTGTCTCCAAGTTTGGGCACATTGAGATCACGTTCGATGTCACTGGTTCGCATAAACCACGGAGCTCCAGAGATCCTTCGAAGTGTTTTCGCTTGCAGAACCCGGATTTTGTTGAGGTTGGTTTTTGCAGCGATGCCATAAACCTGGAGTCCATAGAAAAGAGTTGGCGCTAATATGGATTTATAAATTTGGACCTTACAGCCAAGTGCGAGCTTGTTGCGTGGTGCGAGAAGCCAAGCCATCCGAGAAACTTTGGTCCTGTAAGAGTGTTGGATACAAGTAATGTGCCTGCCAAATGTTAGTTTTTTGTCCAAAGTGACACCAAGGTACTTGTATGCAGGAAGGGCTCTGATTGGACTTCCGTTGAGGCTGACTCCAGGGCAGCTACTTCGACAATTGGTGAACGTTACATTGGCACATTTGTCTGCGTTTACTCGAATGTTCCAGTTCATGGCCCATTGGTGAAATGCGTCCAGATATTGTTGCAATGCAAATGTGGCAGCCAATATACTTTTGCTTTTTGTCAGGACAGCAGTGTCATCGGCGTAGGTCGCAATTAGCACGTTTTGTTCAGCAACTTCAGTGATTGGAGATTGTGTAGGCATATCTGAAGCATAAATACTGTAGAGAGTAGGGCCGAGGACGCTACCTTGGGGAACTCCGG